GCTTGACGTTTGCGAGGCACTACACATCAAGAAGTCAACACCAGCAATCAACAGCCAATTAATGCACAACTATATTCTACCCACCTCAAGACTCCGCTCCAATATAGAAGCATCAAGAAATATGGACCAATAGGCTTTCTACAAACACTTCTATTCAATACCCATTGTTTCGTGTTCTGTCTTGTGTTGATGAAATTAATACCCTATTAATGCCACCTCTTGTTCTGTCTTGTGTTGATGAAATTAATACCCTATTAATGCCACCTCTTGTTCTGTCTTGTGTTGATGAAATTAATGCCACCTCACCCCATCCATTTCACTCAAATGTAGATATAAAATCGGAGATGTGTAAGTTCTATTCAGTTGTGTATTTGTAAATTAAAGTCTTTGAAAATGTAATAAGTTTTACGAAACGCGCTCGTGTCGCGTCAGACTAGAAATAAAAATGAATTTTGGAGAATTGATTTTTGATTTACCTCCAACAGTGAAAAGAAATGTACGAAAGATTGAGAAAATTCGTGTTAGAATTATTAATCTTACTTTTTCTGTCATATTTAATAATATATGTCTACAGGAAAGACTGCTACCAAAAATATAATATATATATATATATATATATATATATATATATATATATATATATATATATATATATATATATATATATATATATATATATATATATATATATATATATATATATATAAGGCGATTAACAATGCTTAAGCAACAGGGCTCCATTAAGGAACATATAATCTCTTCCCACAACAAGACCATCACCAGAGAAATCTTAACAAACAACACATATATCATCGATAGGTACAGCGATAGCAAGCGGCTCGACATCTGCGAGGCACTACACATCAAAAATTCAACAACAGCAATCAACAGCCAATTGATGCACAACTAAATTCTACTAACTTCAAAACTCAGTACCAATATAGAAGCATCAAGAGGAAGTATAGGCCAATAGGCCCTTTGCAGTTACTTCCATTCTTATGTTATCCCCGTGGCCCGTGCTCCCCGCAGTAAATAAACAAATTCCTTAGGAGACTTCAGGCTGAAAGCACAAGGTACATAAGGATGCAATTTTCTGTCTGTATGACAGTAATTAATCACTCTAGTTAATTAGAGGGTAAAAACATCAAAGTTTAAACATCAAAGTTTAACATCAAAGTTAATTAGAGGGTAAAAACATCAAAGTAATGACAGTAATTAATCACTCTAGTTAATTAGAGGGTAAAAACATCAAAGTTCCTTGATACTCTGCACAAATTGACTGGTCTTCTCCTAAGTCAATTAGCTTGATTTCCAAGAATTTTAGGAGTGGTGGTGGTGTTAATTCTTAGTTTAATTCTACCATCCAGGACTGTAAAGATTTGTATGTTTTATATATATCATCCTTTGTCGTTCCTTCCCCTGTCCTTTGACAGCTGGGTAGACAGCGCTTCGGATTCGCAGTCCTGAGGATCCAGGTTCGATCCCTGGTGGAGGAGGAGACAAATGGGCAAAATGTTTTTTTCACCCCTGATGCCCCAGTTACCTAGCAGTAAATAGGTATCTGGGAGTTAGATAGCTGCTACGGGCTGTTTACTGGCGGTGTGTAACAAAAAAGATGGCCTGGTCGGGATCATCTCAAGATAACCTCAAGATAGGAAATCATCTCAAGGAAATCATCTCAAGATAGGTCTCCTGCTAACTGGCTTGTGCATCTCTGCTGCAAGGGTAGACTCTACAAGTTTGCTGGGGTGGGATTTAACAATTATTACAGGTTGACCAGTTTAGCAACTATTATGGTAAGTGTTACGGTTGTGACATTAGTTTATAACGTTACAAGGGTAGCAGCAGTGTTTGTGATCGTACACCAAGCGTTAAACGAGTCCCTGATTATATTATGCTGGCTTGGTAATTATAAACTCTGGGAAAACTTGAGGCTGCTTAGCGTTATTCATGGTTCTTATTTATTCCTGAAACATTACCTTGAGATTTAGCCTGGGTTCATTTACGAATTGATAATGGTACGAGACAGACCACAACGTCCTCGTTTCTTCATCTTCTGATGTGTAGTTTGGTCATCTTATCTTCAGTCACGTTATTGTGAATCGTCGTCTGCTTACCTTGAAATGTTTACGATATTCCTAATGACCTTAATTCTTACCTTGAGACGTTGAGAGCATTATTACTGACCTGGAGTCTTACCTTATGGTGACCAAATCACACACCAGAAGATGAAGAGTCGACGACGTTTCGGTCTGTCCTAGACCATTATCAAGTCGATTGTGTTGGGCACGAGATGACTGATTGATTAATAAATATTAAGCCACCCAAGAGGTGGCACGGGAATGAATAGCCCGTAAGTGACAAACCAGTAGGAAAGTGAGGTTGTTGTTGTTTTAGATTCAGCTACTCGGAACAAAAGTTCCAAGTAGCACGGGCTATGGTGAGCCCGTAGTAGACTTACCTGGCACAGGAGTGTGGCAAGAAACACGGGCTATGGTTAGCCCGCCGGGAGGTGAGATGATTGATGAAGATTAAGCCACCCAAGAGGTGGCACGGGCATGAATAGCCCGTAAGTGGTGGCCCTTTTGAGCCATTACCAGTATCAAAAAATGATACTGGAGATCTGTGGAGGCGCAACTGCACCCTGCGTGACGGGAGATGTCTCCCGGACCAAATGGTGACCAAATGGTCGGGAGGTGAGGGAGGTACGAGCTTTATATAAGGCAAGCGTGAAGTGAGGAGCTTTAAATATCTAGAAGAAGGTAAAGTGTAGGATGGGGAGCAGGTAGGAGATGAAGGGAATTCCTAGAAGAAACTCCATAACTATCTCAATTATTCTTAATGCGTTTGAAATATGACGGTTTTAAATTTTAGGAAAATTGAGATGATAGTAGGGGAAACTACAAGAACACACTAAGGCAGAGGACATGAGCTGGAGCTCAGTAACAAACTTATTTGTTCTAAATGTGTCTGAAATAACTATGTTTGAATTTGTACGAAAATTGAACTGCTAATAATGAAGTTACATGAGAGAAGTAAGGCGGATGAGAAGAGCTGAAACTCAGTAACTAACTTTGTCTCATTTAATACGTCTGAAATATGTGTTTTAAATCTATCGAGAACTGAACTGTAAATAACGAAATAACATGGGTGAACTAAGGGGAGAAGAAGAGCTGAAACGCTGTAACTCTGTTTCTTTTCTTATTATGTCTGAAATAACTAACTTTTAAATCTCTTGAAAATCACGTTGATAGTAACAAAACCACATTTATAACGTCTAGAGGCGAGTCCAACCACAGACATCTGACACTGCTAATTACGTCACACACTCCTAATAAACATATCTTCCGAAGGTGTACTTGATACGATCACGACTTAACCACAAAGCAGGTGGCAACTCAGTAACGAATTTTCTCTGACAGTAATTTCACCCTAAAACAGGCGGCAGTGAGGCGAGGAATTTTTCCGGTCCAACCCAGCCACCCTGAAACAGGTGGCAACAAATTTTCCAAAATTTGAATTCGTCCCTTCGCTTCTATCACACCTAATTACATTAAGACTTAGACAATGTTCTTAGTGACCTAAAGTCCTGCCTTACTAATTTGAAAGGATACCTTAGTGACCTGAAGACTTACGATGAAACGTTGACAGTATTTTTAGCGGCCTGAAGTCTTACCTTCAGAACTTGACAGAATTCTGAGTGACCTGAAATCTTACCTTCAGACTTAGAGTGTTTCCTGGTGACCTGAAGTCATCAAGCAATTAAGCAACCTCTTACGGAAGCAGTAAATATTTCAACCATTATGACAGGTCTGCTTACCTTTATTCAGCGTTTACAAGCTTCCGATCTTCATAATCCAAGGTTGTTATTGTTGCAACAATCTTGTAGTGATTCGGAGCTTATATTTTGCTTAAGAAATGTAAGAAAACGGCCATAATTGTTGAAAAATGGACTTGTTTCGTAAGTGGTGGCATAAATTGTTGATGAATTTTGATCTTGAAGTCTTGCCTTCAGACGGTGACAATATTCTTAGTGCCCTGATGTCTTACCATAAAAGTTGACACTATTCTATGTGGCCTGAATTTTCACCTTAAGAAGCTGGCAATATTCTTAGTGACCTGAATTCTCACCTTAAGATATTGACAGTATTCAAAGTGACCTGAAGTCTTACGTCACTAAGACGTACGATACTAAGACCTAAGACTCTGTCTTAGGACATTGACAATGTTCGTATTGACCTCAAGTTTAACAGTCTCACTGATTGCGTTTCACATTTATTGCTTCACGTCAATAATAATTAATTTTACAGTTGTCTCATCAGATCAATTATCGGCGCGTCATCAGTACGAGAGCGTCAGCGACAGACTCCCTCAGCAGCACACATACAGGTGCTGGTCCCTAGGTCCTGACTTGCAACTGTTATTTTTTATTTTTGCAAACTGATCGCCATGCCTGCGAATATTTATGTATTTAATTGCGCATGCTTGTCCTCTATATGTTCATGAACGTTTAGGAGTACCCAAATAAATATACAGCGTATTTCACACAGCGTTTCTCCCAGAGCGCAAATAAATCCTCATCCGTTTGCTGGGATGGGAGTGGTCTCCCCCTCCAGCCCAGAGTACATATAAGGGCGGGCACAGGCGGTTACTTCACTCCTGTCCTACCCACCGCGCTCTATCAAAACGTTTCAAGGCCTCCTTCTGTGTCCTACTTTTGTCCCAGGACGTCTGTTCTAGTTTCTGCAGTCCTTTTCCTCTCTTTCATTTATGGACTGCTCCCAGCGCCCACAGGAGGGCGTAATTGCCACAACTAGCGTCATCCCAGCAACTTAAGGGCCGAGTCACCCATCCGCCTCCCACACAGCAATAACCGACGCCCTCTCCCTGCTTCGGCGCCTACTGAGGTATCTTTCTGCCACTTTAAATGTGTTGGTATTAGCCCAGAGATTTTAATTTTTTATATGTAATTCTACGCCACCTGCTCTCGGTGCCTCTCTTCATGCCGGTGACTTTGACGGTTTGTGCTCTAAACCCTCCCTGTACTCAGTTCCTTCACTGTGCTCCGTGCCTTCACTGTGCTCCGTTCCTTCACTGTACTCAGTTCCTTCACTGTGCTCCGTGCCTTCACTGTGCTCCGTTCCTTCACTGTACTCAGTTCCTTCACTGTGCTCCGTGCCTTCACTGTGCTCCGTTCCTTCACTGTACTCAGTTCCTTCACTGTGCTCCGTGCCTTCACTGTGCTCCGTGTCTTCACTGTGCTCCGTGCCTTCACTGTGCTCCGTTCCTTCACTGTGCTTTGTTCCCTTCTTGTGCTTCGCGCCCTCCATTCGTACCGTGCCCTCCCTGTGCTCCGTGCCTACTTGAGCTACGTGCATTCCTTGTGTTCCGTGACCTCCCAATAGTAATTGCCCTCCCTTTGCTCTGTACTCTTCCTTTGCTTCACTCCCTCCCTGTGTTCAACATTTTCCCAATGCTCTGGCTACCTACCTCTGCTCCGGCGCCCTTCCTGTGCTCTTGAGTCCTCCATGGCCTCTTGAGTCCTTCATGGCCTCTTGAGTCATCCCTGTGTTCCAATGTCTTCCCTGTGCTCCGGTGTCCTCCTGTGCTCCGGCGTCCGCCGTGTGCTTCGACGTCCTCCCTGTGCTCCGGCGTCCTTCCTGTGATCCTCGCCCTTCCTGTGCTACTCGCCCTTTTTGTGCTCCGGCGTCCTCCCTGGGCTCTTGAGTCCTCCCTGTGCTTTGAGGTCCTCCCTGTGCTCTTGAGTCCTACCTGTGCTCCGGCGTCCTCCCTGTGCTCCGGCGTCTTCGCCGTGCTCCGGCGTCTTTCCTGTGCTCCGTCGTCCTCCCTGTGCTCTTGAGTCCTCCCTAAGCGGCGTTCTCCTAGTCCCCCTGCGTCCTCTCTGTTCTTCGACGTCCTCCCTGTGCTCTTGCATCCTCCCTGTGCTCTTGCGTCCTCCCTGTGCTCCGGCGTCCTCCCTGCGCTCTTGCGTCCTCCCTGTGCAATGGCATCCTCCCTGTGCTGTTGCGTCCTCCCTGTGCTCCGCCGACTTCCCTGTGCTCCGGCGTCCTCTCTGTGCTCCGGCGTCCTCACTGTGCTCCGGCGTCCTCAATGTGCTCCGGCGTCCTACCTGTGCTACGGCGTCCTCACTGTGCTACGGCGTCCTCCCTGTGCTCCGGCGCCCTCCCTGTGCTCTGGCGCCTTCCTTGTGCTCCTCGTCCTCACTTTGCTCCACGCCCTCCCAGTGCTCTACGTCCTCCCTGTGCTCCTCGCCCTCCCTGTGCTCCACGTCCTCCCTGGGCTCCTCACCCTCCCTGTGCTCCACGCCCTCCTTGTACTCCACGCCCTCCCTGTGCTCCACGCCCTCCCTGTGCTCCACGCCCTCCCTGTGATCCACGCCCTCCCTGTGCTCCTCGCTCTTCCTGTGCTCCACGCCCTCCCTGTGCTCCTCGCCCTCTCTGTGCTCCACGTCCTCCCTGTGCTCCACGTCCTCCCTGAGCTCCTCGCCCTCCCAGTGCTCCACGCCCACCCTGTGCTCCACGCTCTCCCTGTGCTCCTCGCCCTCCCTGTGCTCCACGTCCTCCCTGTGCTCGTCGCCCTCCCTTTGCTATTGCGTCCTACCTTTGCTCCTCGCCCTCCCAGTGCTCCACGCCCACCCTGTGCTCCACGCACTCCCTGTGTTCCTCGCCTTCCCTGTGCTCTTGCGTCTTCCCTGTGATCCTCGTCCTCCCTATGCTCCTCGTCCTCCATTTGCTCCAGTGTCCTCCCTGTGCTCTTGAGTCCTCCCTGAGCTCCGGCGTTCTCCCTGTGCTCCGACGTCCTCCCTGTGCTATTGCGTCCTCCCTGTGCTCTGGTGTCTTCCCTGCACTCTTACGTCCTCTCTGTGCACTTGCGTCCTCTCTGTCCTCCTCGCTCTTCCTGTGCTCCATGCCCTCTATGTGCTCCACGTTCTCCCCGTGCTCCTCGCCCTCCCTGTGCTCCACGACCTCTCTGTGCTCTTGCGTCCTCCCTGTGCTCTTGCGTCCTCCCTGTGCTCCTCGCCCTTCCTATGCTCCACGCCCTCCCTGTGCTCCTCGCCCTCCCTGTGTTTTTGAGTCCTCCCTGTGCTCCTCGCTCTCCTTGTGCTCTTGCGTCCTCTTTGTGCTCTTGCGTCCTCCCTGTGCTCCGAGGTCCTCACTGTGCTCTTGAGTCCTACCTGTGCTCCGGCGTTCTCCCTGTGCTCGGGCGTCTTCACTGTAATCCAGCGTCTTTCTTGTGCTCCGGTGTCCTCCCTGTGCTCCAGCGACATCTCTATGATCCGGCGTCCTCCCTGTGCTCCAGCGTCCTCCCTGTGCTCCTCGTCCTCCCTGTGTTCCTCGTCCTCCCTGTGTTCCGGCGTCGTCCCAGTGCTCCGGCATCCTTTCTGTGCTCTGGCGTCCTCCATGTGCTCCGGCGTCTTCCCTGTGCTCCGGCGTCTTCCCCTGTTCTCCGTCATCCTCCCTGTGCTCCGGCGTCCTCCCTGTGCACCGGCATCCTCCCTGTGCTCCACGTCCTCCCTGTTTTCCTCGTCCTCCCTGTGCTTCCCGCCCTCCCTGTGCTCCTCGCCCTCCCAGTGCTCCTCGTCATCCCTGTGCTCCTGAGTCCTCCCTGTGCTCCGGCGTCCTTCCTATGCTCCAGCGTCCTCCTTATTCTCTGGCATCCTCCCTTTGCTCCGGCCACCTCCCTGTGCTCCGGCGTCCTCCCTGTGCTCAGGCGTCTTCCTTGTGCTCCGGCGTCCTCCCTGTGCTCTGGCGTCCACCCTGTGCACAGGCATTCTTTCTGTGCTCCAACGTCCTCCCTGTGCTCCGGCGTCCTCCCTGTATTCCGGCGTCCCCCGTGTGATCCGGCGTCCTCCCAGTGCTCGTCAGTCCTCCCGGTACTCCGGCGTCCTCCCTGTGCTCCGGCGTCCTCCCTGTGATCTTGCGTCCTCCCTGTGCTCCGGCGTCCTCTTTTTGCTTTTGCATCCTCCCTGTGCTCCGGTGTCCTCCCTGTGCTTGTGAGTCCTCCCTGTGCTCCGGCGTCCTCCCTGTGCTCCGGCGTCAGCCCTGTGCTCTGGCGTCCTCCCCGTACTCCGGCGTCCGCCCTGTGATCCAGCGTCCTCCCCGTGCTCCTAAGTCTTCTTTGTGCTCCGGCGCCCTCCCTGTGCACCAGCGTTCTCACTGTGCTCCGGCGTCCTCCCTCTCCTCCGGCGTCCTCCTTGTGCTCTGGCGTCCTCCCCGTACTCCGGTGTCTTCCCTGTCCTCCGGCGTCCTCCCTGTACTCTGGCGTTCTCCTAGTGCTCCTCACCCTCCTTGTGCTCCACGCTCTCCCTGTGCTCCACGTCCTTCCTGTGCTCCACGCACTCCCTGTGATCTTGCGTCCTCCCTGTGCTCCGGCGTCTTCCCTGTGCATCTGAGTCTTCCCTGTGTTCCGTCGTCCTCCCTGTGCTCCGGCGTTCTCAATGTGCTCCGGCATCCTCCACGTGCTCCGGCGTCCTCCCCGTACTTCGGCGTCCCCCTGTTATCTGGCGTCCCCCCTGTGATCCGGCGTCCTCCCTGTGCTTCTGAGTCCTCCCTGTGCTCTGGTGCCCTCTTTGGGCTCTGGCGTTCTTGCTGTGCTCCGACGGCCTCCCCGTACTCCGGCATCCCCCACTGTGATCCGGCGTCCACCCTGTGCTCTTGTGTCTTCCCTTTGCTCCGAGCCCTCCCTGTGCCCAAGCGTCCTCTCTGTGCTCCTGAGTCCTACCTGTGCTCCTCGCTCTCCCTCTGCTCCTCGCCCTCCTTGTGCTCCACGTCCTCCCTGTGCTCGTCGCCTTCCCTGTGCTCCTCGCCCTTCCTGTGCTGCACGCCGTCCTTGTGCTCCTTGCTCTCCCCTCTGTTCCACGTCCTCACTGTGCTCTTGCGTACTCCCTGTGCTCCTCGCCCTTTCTGTGCTCAACGTCCTCTCTGAGCTCCTCGTCCTCTCTGTGCTCCACGTCCTCCCAGTGATCTTGAGTCCTCCCTGAGCTCCTCGCCCTCCCTGTGTTCTTGCGTCCTCCCTGTGCTCCTCGTCCTCCCTATGCTCCAGCGTCCTACCTGTGCTCCTCGTCCTCCCTATGCTATGGCATACTTTCTGTGCTCCGGGGTCCCCCTTACGCTCCTGCATCCTCCCTGTGCTCCGGCGTCTTCCTTGTGCTCCGGCGTCCTCAATGTGCTCCGGCATCCTTTCTGTGCTGCAGTGTCCTTCATGTGCTCCGGCGTACTCCCTGTTCTCTGGCATCCTCCCTGTGCTCCGGCGTCTTCCCTGTGCTCTGGCGTCCTCTCTTTGCTGACGCGTCTTCCCTGTGCTTCGGCGTCCTCCCTGTGCTCCGGCGTCCACCCTGTACTCCGGAGTCCCCACTGTGATCCGGCGTCCTCCTTGTGCTCCGGTGACCTCCCTGTGCTCCGGCGTCCTCCCTGTGCTCCGGCGTCCACCCTGTACTCCGGCGTAACCACTGTGACCCGGTGTCCTACTTGTGCTCCTGAGTCCTCTCTGTGTTCCGGTGCCCTCCCTGTGCTCCAGCGTTCTCGCTGTCCTCTTGCATCCTCCCTGTGATCTTGCGTCCTCCCTGTGCTCCGGCGTGCTCTCTGTGCTCCTGCTTACTCTTCTGCTTCGGCGTCCTCCCTGTGCTCAGGCTTCCTCCCTGTCCTCTTGCGTCCTCCCCGTGCTCCGGCGTCCTTCCTGTACTCCGGCGTCCCACGTGTGATCCGGCGTCTTCCCTGTGCTCCAGCGTTCTCGCTGTCCTCCGCGGTCCTCCCCGTACCCCGGCGTCCTATCTGTGCTCTTGCGTCCTCCCTGTGCTCCTGTGTCCTCCCTGTGCTCTGGCGTCCTCTCTGTGCTTTTGCGTCGTCCCTGAGCTCCGGACTCCTTCCTCAGCTCCGACGCCCTACATGTGCTCCTGCGTCCTCCCTGTGCTCAGGCGTCCTCCCTGTGCTCCTACGTCCTCATTGTGATCCACGTGAACCCTGTGTTTTGGCGTCCTCCCTTGTTCTTGAGTCCTCCCTGTGCTCCGTCGTCCCCTGCGTGCTCTTGCGTTCGCTCTGTACTCCGGCGTCCTCCCTGTGCTATTGAGTCGTCCCTGTGCTCCGGCGCCCTTTCAGTGCTCCGGCGTGCTCCATGTGCTCCGACGTCCTCCCTGTACTCCGGCGTCGTCCCTGTCCTTGTGCGTCCTCCTTGTGCACTTGCGCCCTCCCTGTGCTCCGGCGTCGTCAAGGTGCCCCAGCGTGCGTCCAGTGCTCCGACGTCCTTCCTGTGCTCCTGAGTCCTCCTTGTGCTCGAGTGTCCTCCCAGTGCTCCAGCGTTCTCCCTCTGCTCATGTGTACTCTATGTGCTCCGGCGTCCTCCCTGTGCTCTGGCGTCCTCTCTGTGCTCCAACGTCCTCCCTGTGCTCCATCGTCCTCTCTGTGCTCCTGCATCCTCACTGTACTCCGGTGTCCTAAATGTGTTCTTGAATCCTCTCTGTGCTCTTGAGTCCTCCCTGTGCTCCGGCGTCCACACTGTGCTCCGACGTCCTCGTCTGCGCTCCTGCATCCTCACCTGCGCTCTGTCGTCCTCACTGTGCTCCGACGTCCTCCCTGTGCTTTTGCTTCCTGCCTGTGCTCCGGCTCCCTCCCAGTGCTCCAGCGTCCTCCATGTGCTCCGGCTTCCTCCCTAGGCTCCTGCGTCCTCCCTTTGCTCCTCTTCCTCACTGTGCTCCTCGTCCTTCCTTTGCTCCTGCGTCCTTCTTGTGGTCTTGCGTCCTCCCTGTTATCCAAGCGCTCCCTGTATTCCTCGTCCTCCCTGTGCTCCGGCGTCCTTCTTGTGCTCCGGCGTCCTTCTTGTGCTCCGGCGTCCTCCCTATGCTCCAGCGTCCTCCCTTTGCTCTTGAGTCCTCCCTGTGCTCCGGCGTCCTCCCTATGCTCAGGAGTCCTCTCTGTGCTCCTGAGGTCTCCCAGTGCTCCGGCGTCCTCCTTGTGCTCCGGCATCCTCAGTGTGCTCCTGCGTCCTCCCTGTTCTCTTGCGTCGTACCTGTGCTCCGCCGTCCTCTATGTGCTCTTGCATACTCCCTGTGCTCCGGCGTCCTCCTTTTGCTCTTGCGTCCTCCCTGTGCTCCGGCGCCCTCTCAGTGCTCCGGCATCCTCCCTGTGCCCCGGCGTCCTCCCTATGCTCCTGCGTCCTCCCTTTGCTCTTGAATCCTTCCTGTGCTCCGGTGTCCTCCCTGTGACCCACGTGAACCCTTTGCTCCGGCTTCCTCCCTGTGCTCCGGCTTCCTCCCTGTGCTCTTATGTCCTCCCTGTGCTCCGGCTTCCTCCCTGTGCTCTTGCGTCCTCACAGTGATTCACGCCCTCTCTGTGTTCCACGTTCTCGTTCTGCTTCTCTTCCTCCCTGTGCTCCTCGTCCTCCCTTTGCTCCTGCGTTCTTTCTGTGCTCTCGCGTCCTCCCTGTGATCCAAGCCCACCCTGTGTTCCTCGTCCTTACTGTGCACCGGCGTCCTTCCTGTGCTCCGGCGTCCTCCCTATGCTCCGGCGTCCTCACTTTGCTCTTGAGTCCTCCCTGTGCTCCGGCGTCCTTCTTATGCTCTCGCGTCCTCCATGTGCTAAGCGTCCTCTCTGTGCTCTTGAGTCCTCCCTGTGCTTCGGCGTCCTCTCTTTGCTCATGCGTACTCCCTGTGCTCCGGCGTCCTCACTGTCCTTATGCGTCCTCCCTGTGCCCCCGGCGTCGTCAAGGTGCTCCAGCGTCCGTCCTGTGCTCCGAAATCCTCCCTGTGCTCTTGACTCCTCCTTGTGCCCCAGCGTCCTCCCAGTGCTCCAGCGTTCTCCCTCTGATCCTGTGTCCTCTATTTGCTCCGGCGTCCTTCCTGTTCTCCGGCGTCCTCCCTGTGCTCCAGCGTCCTACATGTGCTCCATCGTCCTCTCTGTGCTCGTGCATCCTCACTGTGCTCTGGCTTCCTCAATGTGCTCTAGAGTCCTCTCTGTGCTCTTGAGTGCTCCCTGTGCTCCGGCGTCCACACTGCTCCGGCGTCCTCTCCTGCGCTCCGGCATCCTCACCTGCGCTCCCGCGTCCTCACGGTGTTCCGACGTCCTCCCTGCGCTCCCGCGTCCTCACAGTGTTCCGACGTCCTCCCTGTGCTCTTGCTTCCTGCTTGTGCTCCGATGCCCCTCCCAGTGCTCCAGCGTCCTCCATGTGCTTCGGCGTCCTCCCTATTCTCCTTCAGTCCTCCCTTTGCTCTTGAGTCCTCTATTTGCTCCGGCGTCCTTCCTGTGCTCCGGCGTCCTCCCTGTGCTCCGGCTTCCTCCCTGTGCTCTTGCGTCCTCACAGTGATTCACGCCCTCTCTGTGTTCCACGTTCTCGTTCTGCTTCTCTTCCTCCCTGTGCTCCTCGTCCTCCCTTTGCTCCTGCGTTCTTTCTGTGCTCTCGCGTCCTCCCTGTGATCCAAGCCCACCCTGTGTTCCTCGTCCTTACTGTGCACCGGCGTCCTTC